ATGTATGGTTCAGATGTATGGTTCAGATGTATGGTTCAGATGTATGGTTCAGATGTATGGTTCAGATGTATGGTTCAGATGTATGGTTCAGATGTGTATGGTTCAAATGGAGATTCAAATGGAGGTTCAAATGGAGAGCAGCATGGGGGTACGTCGGAGACAACAAGAGATACTGGAGCAAAAGAGTAGGCAAGAGAAAGAGGGCGAGGGAGAGTCGGGTTTATAACCTTGAAGAGGCGCATGTAGAAGAAGAGAGAGAAAAAGAGAGGTTGGAGAGGAGTAACACAAGGTCAAATTAAGGGGTTGCGCAGCAGCCTTGGCGAAGGGAATCCCGTGTTGAGTCGCGCCAGGCGGGCCGACGCGTCTGTTAGTAACCGTAATTACGGAGTACGGGAGTACCTACCTACTCCGTACAGGGAATCAGAATCAGGTCGGACTTGTAAATGCCAAATGGTAAATACCTGGTACATGTACGCCGTACGGAGTATGTACGGAGTACCTTAGGTAGGTACCCAGGATCCATGGCCGGTGGTTGACCAACCCCCCTGACCACTCAAACATTGGTGACCCTCACCCATCTACGGATACCTACCTTAGATTATAGGTACTATTAATATCTGTGGCGTTGGTACAGAGCGTCAAGGTAGAACGATTTCTTTCATGACCAAGAGAATCTCATTTGCTTACAAAGGAAATAATTAGTATCCTTTCATCTTCTGCTCGCTCAGACCCCCTACATGATCCGGAGGAGCTATTGCCCTCACCCATCATTGGACGATAGACAGAAAGAATCGCAGATTCTCCCTATTCAAGACCTATCTCTCGAACTCTCATGCCGCAGGCTCCGATATAGTGTCTAGCTGGTTAGGGTTCGAGGTTGGGAAGCAGAGGCGAAGTTCACCAGGAAACACAGGCAAGACTTGCCGATCCAGTGGCTCCCTGAGTATTCTACGACATCCGCACCTGCGGCGCCGAGCTGTCTGGCTGATGTGATGTCGTGCTTGCACTCCCATCAACCGGCATGTTGGTGCAAGCTATACGCCAAATAGACTGTCTGATCCTGCGGAAGAAATATGAACGAGGCCTCGTTCTTAGACCAAATATGGGGGTATCAGTCCTCGCCTTAGCCGCACCACTGTAATCCAGGAACATGCAATGCGAAATCATTCCCAGTCCTCTTCATCGCTTTCATCTGCCTTTGTCGGCGACTTAGCTGCGTCGTCCTTCGGGCTGCCTGGAGCACGGCTTGTGGCGCCACTAATTAGGTCGTAACTAGCATCGCTGTCGGCCACCGATTTCTCATCATGAGACCTTCGACTCGCACTCTCAGGCTTGAGAGATCCTGGTTCGGGAACAGCCGGTGTCTGATGTACTGTAGTTGAGGAGTCGTTTGTGTTTTGAGCAACGAGTACTTTCAGTGGCGGTCCCTGGCTTTGCTGGAGTTGTGGTGTGGACGCGGATCCTTGCTCATCCTCAGAATCCTCATCCCAGCGAACTTCTTCGGCATCGTTGGCCGACGCTGTTAAAAGTGTGTCAGCGTAGAACTGGCATAACCAAATAAAAGGATGCGAGCATCACCAACCTCGAAGTAGCTCCTTTCTCTTTTCCTCTTGAACCTCCACAACATGTCTCAGGAAGTAATATCGCGTCCAAAAATCCTTGTAGTCCACGCTTTCCGGTACAACTTTCTCCATTGAAGTTCTCAGCTCGCTGTACTTGTCCAGATCTTCCGCAATCCGTGCCGTCATTTTATCAATGTCAAAATCTTTCTTGAAATCATCCCATTGCCCGCCAGCCCCGCTAGGATCCTGGGTGAAACTGGTCAAGGTGGTGTGGATGACATGTAGTTGGGCATCGAATCTGCTGGTGTGGATGACTCTTTTGCCGGAATTGGGGTCTTTGCTCTCAAAAAGCACCTCGCCAGGCTGACGATGGTCAAGTTGTTCTTCGTCCGGCGCGCTCACCGCTACTGCATCGCGCAGGAAGTTCCTGATGTTCATGCCAAATCGTAAGAGTGCTTCGTCAGCTGCGTCTTCCGCCTTCTGCACCTCTTTCAATCTCTTTGCTGCCTCCATTTTGAATCGCGCAAGAAGCGTTTCAGTATCCTGGAGATCTTTGTTTTCCTCGCCTTCTGGCGAAGCTTTGGTCGGTTCTATGCTACGCTCCTCAGAGGGTTCATCCTCTTGCTTGGTCTTCTCCTTGCCAAATCCCAGGCCAAGAAACCCTTTCGTCCTCAGTGCTTCCACCTCGTTCGCCACTTCCGTAGCCTCCTTCCTTGCTTCCTCATAGTAAGTCTCGCCTTGTTTTCTAACATTTCCCCAAAGGCCGCCCAACTTTGCACCCCAGGGGGAATTGGAGAAAGCTTTGAATGTTTCTTGGAACTCGGTTTGGAGGTTCTCTCTGGCAGTTGCGTGGTCGGGCTTGGGAGTTGTAGCAGCGTTCGAAGTCGTGGGGGTGATGTTCGACACCGGAGGCGTCGGTGTAGCGACACGGTCACCAGGCGTGAATGACTGTTCCGCTATGTGATCATAAGCGAGATCCATCTTGTTAGCGGAGTTGAACAGAGGCGTCAGAGATCAATCCTGGAGGGGGGAAGTAATATGAATAACGGCGTATCTTGGGCACCTCTGCGAGTGCCCTAGAGCGTCAACAGCGGCTTGAGTGTAGAGGAGGTTCTGTAGGAGCCGTAGGCTGCGATCGAGGGTATGAGACGATGTCTCTGCCCGGGGGTTGCAGTGGATCAGGGGCACGTCACTTTAAGATGACAGCGACCATGTAGCACGTGATCTAGTAATTCTACTCTGTACGGAGTACACATACAGTGTGTGATAGTATCCGTTCGCGCTCTCATAACAGTGGACTTCCAGTCTCCAAGTACATGTTGGCTTCCGCACAATTCCCGCTGTCTCCAAGCCACGAGGACATGCATATCCCTGCCCTCAGCTGCACTTGAAATGGGCCAGAAACCACAGTCTGTCTTCGATGACGTCTGGCAAAAGAGCCATTCCGAAAAGGGGTGCAGGACTACCATCTGATGGAACTTGGTCGAATCCTAGTACTCAAAGTCGTCGTCGACACCTCCCTTGCCTCGTGTCTCCTGAGCGACGACCTCCTGCTTGCGATACATTTCTGCAATAGCCTTTGTTGTTGTCGCCTCTTCAGGCTTCTTGTCGTCTCTTTTCTGAATGAATCGTGGAAATCGCAGACTAATCCCGTTTTTGCCACCCATTTCATCAATTGCAGCACGGTAACGAGGACTCAGGGTGAGACCGGCAGTCTTGACTTCCCAGACATGACGGGCTTCGAACCACACATCTGGCTGGTCGTTCTTCACCGTGGAGTGTGAGTAAAACGGTTTGGCACCGTCAATGACGATTTCAGACAGATCTTTGTAGAACTCTTCGAGGATGGCTTCTGAAAAGCCAGTCCCAATATTACAGACTGTTTCAAAGGTCTGCGTATCCTCATTGTATGCACCAAGGAGAAAGGCCCCGTACCAGGACGTCCGCTTCCCTTTACCGTAATAGGCCCCCAAAACAACAAGGTCCAAGGAGTCGCCAACCCCGGCGAGGTAGTCCTTCTTCACCTTGAGCCAGTTGCGTGAGCGTTTGCTAGGCTCGTAGCCCGAATCTTCTGTGTCGAGCATCTTCACCATTAACCCTTCGCAAGATGCTTTCACAGATTCGTCCAAGAGGTGCTGGATCTCCTCTACATCTCTGGTATCACCGTACTGGGCAAAGGAAAATTCTCCTTCCGCCAGGGTGAAGGCGTTGTGGAGCAGCTCGCGTCTCTCACGGAATGACTTTTTGACAAGAGGTTCGCCGTTGTAGAAGAGTAGATCAAAGGCGAAGACGCAAACCTTGACGGTGACTTCTGACGTCTTCACATCTTTCCGCTTGCGAGTCATGAGTTGTTGGAAAGGCAGTACTTTTTTATTTTGAGGATCCCAGGCAACAGTTTCGCAGTCCAAGACGAAGCTCTTCGTTGACGGCTTGATCCAAGTGTTCAATTTCTCCAGGATATCCGGGTACTTCTTTGATAGGTCTTCAGAGTTCCTTGAAAAGATGGCAGCAAGACCGTTGAAACGCTTCGGGTCCTTGGCCAACGTGTTCTCAGCCGCTGGAAATTCGGATTTTACATCGGGGGCAACATAATGAATCTGTGCCCGCTCTCCGTCGTACTTATATTCACAGGTGAAGTCCTTTCCCTCGAATCGATCTAGTACTTCAGTAATCGATTTGGTCGGTTTGGCAAGCATCGGTTTCAGTGGAACTCCCGGTTGCAATTTACAGGTCTCGTGCAAATTGAAGACACCATGTTCAAGCATGGCTGGAATAATCACCTCATAAGAGGGTAACTCACTGTAGACTTGTTTTAGAACGGCTTCACCATTAGCTAGCTGGTCAGTACTGGGGATTTTCCCTTTCTTTGCGGCTTCGTAGGTTACAACGGCCTGAGCCAATGCAACGATGACAGTCTTCTCGGCCAGACCAAGTCGCAATTTGCCTTCGAGAAAGCGAACCAAGAATTTGGCTTCTGATGGCCCTCCCTTATCCTTAGTGATATCTACAGTCTTGCTTGCAGATGATACATCAGCAGAGGCCATCAATCGGTTGATAGCTCTGACTTTTTGGTCCTGCGAGCCATGTCCTTCCATTTTGGCAATTTCGAGCAGCCCTTGGTGGACACCATGAACAGTGAGTGGCTTTGGTTTGAACATCTGTGCCTGCTTAGATTTGCTCTTGGCCGCAACGAGACCCAAGTCGCCGATTTTATGATGGTCTGCTTTGATCACCGATAGCGAGCGACCGGAGCTCTCCCCTATGGCTTTCATGATAAGTGATTCTCCTATTCCAAGCTCAATACCGGCATAGTCGGCTGCAAGCTTGTTTAACATGAGCTGTACCGTCGGCAGGAGATCTCGTGGCGTCAAGCGTAGGACTTGCTGTAGAAAAGAGGAGCAATATGCTATGATTTGGAGACGCTTCGTGGTAAGCTCGATCAACGAAAACGTGGTACATAAAGCTGCGTATGGAACAGGGTCTCCGGCTTTCCAGTCTGGGTATGGGTCCTTGCCCGAAGCTTCGATAGTAGCCTGAATTTCGGCAACTTGCTTTTTGTCGACTTTTGGTGTCTCATCGTCGCTGGGAGAGGATTCAGCCTCAGATGTAGAGACTTCTTTGTCCTCACTCCGCGGTGATACAGCCCCCTCATCCTCACGTTTGGGTCTGCTTGTATTTGGGCCTTTCTTTGCTGGAAGCAGTTCTGAATGCTCCTTGGTCAAAGTACCATTTGTTTTGGAGGGGGGATCCTTCGCCTTGGTGGGAGCAGTCGACTTGGATGTCGATGTCCGTCTCCTTCTCTTCACAACAGGCTGGTCATCAGGATCACTTTCACTCTTACTGCTCTCCACCGTCTTTCTCTTGTGTTTCCCATGCAAGGAACTATCACTGTCTTGAATACATGATTCGGGAGTGTTTCGAGCATCTCTCGTCTCGGCGGCTGGAGACGCTTCCTTTGCGTGCTCTTGACGCGCGACCGGATCTTTAGATAGTGTCTTCTGCTGGAAAGACAGGGTTGATTGGGACTTGGGCTTCCCCTCATTCTGCTTTTGGCCGAGGAATTTACTGTCCTGGTCAACTCTGATGATCTCGACGGGGAATCAAGTAGTGACATACCCAAGAGTTGATTGCCTTGCCTGGGGCATGGTGAAGCCGTTCCGCAAAAGGACAGGTGGAAGCCGTGTCTGAAAAGACCGACGTTGCTGATGTTGACGGAAGAGGCTTATGAGAGAAGAACGAAGTCGCAGGCGGGTCGAAAGATCTTGTTTTCGGCTGAGCAAGAGCAGAGAAGAACAGGAGGAAGGAAGGGTGACCTGAATCGCATTCACACGCATTAATTGCATTTGATTGTGTTGTTTGGCTAGAAGCAATATGAGCTTGCAGTCTAGTTTATTTGAATCACGAAAAGTCGCGTCAAGACGCGTGGGGTCACCACTCTAGGTGCCAGTTAAGTGCCTAGCAGGCAGAAGAGCCACGGCTAAGGCCACCGCAAACAGTCTATCCGTACGCAATACAGATAAATGAGACTTTATTAATTAGGGTGTAAATAGGTAAGGAGTCACACTCGGTCCCATGTTTGACTTATCCTCTATTAGGTCTCTCGACAATCGACAACAGCTGAGACATTGTTACTTGGTGATGCCATGAGATCTGCGTCTATTTGATGGTTGTATCTATACGGAGTACTGCGAGACGCTTCCTGGATCTAAAGAATATCACAACGTGATCCAGCCAGCCAGTGCAGACAATACAGAACCATCTTTCTCATTGATTACCTGGATATGAGGTCACAATCAAAACATGGCCACAGGGCCGGAAACAGCCTCGAGGCAACGAACAACAGCCGGATGCGCCCGCCTATGTGTACAGAGTATCCGTACAGTAGAGGAGACTGCGGACTCAACAGTGATTGGAGGGCTCAGGCCCTTAGGCGCAGTTGGAGGGGAGGTTTCTGTCCCGGTCAAGGCCGGATGCTGATTACAAACTTCAAGGCGCTTGGGCGGGCAATACTAATTAGGTACGGAGTACGGAGTATATCCGTTCTCTTTTCTTTTCATCAATCCTTGTGATTAGCTATCAGCCTTTGGCAAGGCCTATTACAGCAAACGCATTATGCACTTGCTATCGGTATTCTTCAGTTATCCGTAAAGCCGTAAATGCATCAGCAGGCGCCTCGCAGTGATCATGACCGGGGCAATCGTGTTCCGTTCGCAGACTGTCCTTTTTCCCGCTTGAAGGCGACCATGCAAAGCCGCGCCGTTGAATGTGGGTATCATCACTGATTTGGAAACAAATTCGAAAAGCTCCCTCTGCTCTCACTCCCCTCATCAGCGCTCCCCTCTTACAAAACCAATAAGGCTGCGAGTCCAGCCACACCGGCAAGACCGTGGGCGGCCATGGTCACCATTGGCATTGCGCCATTTCCTGAGGACGAAGAAGCAGCGGTACCGGCTGCGGAAGAGGCAGAAGATCCGGCTGCACCGGCGGAACTAGTGGCGCTGGCGATCTGCGAGGAGACGGAACTGGCAACAGACTTCGCAGAGCTCGAGGCAGAAGCGGCGGCGCCAGACGCTGCAGTTGAAGCTGACTCGGCTTTAGATGAGAGAGATGAGGCGAGAGAGGAAGCCGAAGCGCTTGCACCGGAAGCAGCCGATGCGGCACTTGCAGAGACACCAGAGGCACCAGATGCCTAAGATAAGTCAGCAATTGAAAGACAGCCTAAATTGCAGTTTCCGAACTAACCAATGTACCACTTGCTGCACTGAAGATTGTCGAGGTTCCAATCGCACTTGTGATTGTGCTCCCATCGGTGGTGAAGGTAGAGAAGAGAGTTTCAGTGGAGATTGGAGTCGAAGAACCACCCTCAGTGCCAGCAGTCGAAGCAGAACCAGTACCACCGTTACCAGCCGCGGTTCCAGTCGCAGTTCCAGTGCCAGTTCCAGTCGCAGTTCCAGTCGCAGTTCCAGTCACTCCAGTCACACCAGAAGCGGAACCAGCTGGGCCGGTCGCAGTTCCAGCAGCAGTCAAAGCCGAAGTTGCAGAGAGAGTTCCAACGCTGGATTTACCCGACGCCGCTAGAGAAAGGTCAACAACAGTACTACCAACAACGATACAAGGCAAGAACTCACCAGCATGGCAATAAGACACACCATAGGCGATGATGGAAGTGGTGTCCGTTCCAGCAGGGCAGGACTCGACAGCGCAATCACGAATACCATAACCGAAGTCGCTACTGGCGCAGAGGCAGAGGGTGTCAGGTTGGCCGTTGACATCAGGGCACCCAAGGGTTGCACCTTGTCCTAGCATGTTGTTGATGCAGGTTTGCTTTGTGAAAAGGTCAGCGTTTGCTTTACCCAATGTGCTGAAACATCTTATCACTTACACCGCATGCTGGCAAGTCAGAGAGGGATTGTGCAAGAGCAATGCCAATAAAGGCGGCTGCAGCGAGGATGGTCTTCATGACTGCCTGAAAGAGGATGCGAAGTCTCGTGGATTGTTGAGAGTTACGCAGCGTAAGGGGTGTTGGCGGTAAGAGGATGCACGGTACGTGGCGTGAGGAACTCCTAAGAGAGACACGATCCAAGCAGAAGGTGAAGAGATGGTGAAGGAAGAGGTTGATGCGCGGACGCTGACGCAAAGGCTTTATGAGTTGAGTGACAGGGACGATCAGAGGAAGCTGAGATGGGGAAGTCAAGGTCAAGATCGGTGTGGGTGCTGATGCCAGTGGCTGCGTAGTGGTATGTGTAGACAACGGAAAGTGGAAAGTGGAGTGGGCGCAGGCAAGTGAGAGGAAGGTAAAGTTCACCAGTTCACCGCAGGTTGCGTCAGTACTCCGTAGAGAAGCTGGCAACACCAGGAAAAGGAGAGGCTGGCTGCCCCTACTACCTGGAGTACTACTCATTCAAGTTGCAGCAGCAAGCTTGCATCCGGTGACGAGCAGTCAGTCACTAGTTACTGCGAGTGCTGTACGGAGTCGTCTGTTTGGAGTTCCCCTGTCTGTCAATCCGCAGTCCGTCCGCCTTGTCGGACAGCATTTGGATGGAGAAGTCATCGTGCACCAACCAAGTCCTTTCCCATCACCTTAGCGAATAACGATCCATGTCTCCGCCATGCACTAAATCAGCCACATCGCGTTGCTCAGGCATCTCAGCAGCAAGAAGACGCGCAGGCGCGTGGCGATCCGCTCTAGCACAATTCGATTCAAGCTGAACCTGCTTCGGTTCTGGCGATTCAGGCCCAATTGTCAGCCTACTTTGACCCCCCAAAAATCCTGCTTGTACGCACAGCAATCAAGGCTACTGGTCTCGCCACTCGTCCCTGACCAGGTGCCTCCGGTGTACACACTGTTTGCACACTGCAGGTCCACGCACAGCAGTGACACATTGTTGTCAACTGACAACGGACAACCTGCATTCCAGGGGTTTAGACTTCACGAGATCTCGAGCCACAACCAGTCTGCACGGCGGACAGCTTTGAACTTCCGGCACGTCCCTTGTCACCAAGATCTACCCCTGTCCTATGACCTCGTGCAGGTACATACGTCAAGAGGGGGTCATTCATATTTGGGACCGAGTGTTAGATCCGGGCTGGGTCACTCCAGCCCCATATTATTCTAGCAGGAGCTGTGGAACATAAGAGCCTTGGAGCTGTGTGGGGTATGCATCTGGATCTTCCAAAGACAGTTAACGCAACGATACAATACAGCTGAAGAAGAGACCAGTTTCTCCCAGAGCAAAACTGTCATGGTTGTAGCAGGCAGTCTGACGAAAACAGGGTGGACGCGTCCCCTGGCCGGACGAGTGCAGTTACACTTGCACCCAGAAACCGGGAAGCCGCAAACCAAGAACCAGCCTTCACGGAGGCCAGTCGACATCGAGCTGCCAAATCATTGACCCGGCGCAACCTTAGTGGTGTTGGTCGGTGCGGTTTTCGGCACCACCGAGACGAGGCGTGCTAGAGCTAAAGGCCCCGTAAGCCCGGGGTTTGCTCCAGCGAACTCCTACAGGTTACTGTAACTGCTAAACAGACATTATTATCTAGGCGCGTAGTTGAGATCTGAGATCTGCGCATTATTTTGGCATTCCTCCAACGATGTGACAGGCAATCTCCCAATGTCTCAAGATCGAATTTGACGCCGCTTCAGAGCCCTGCCTCCAACGAATCTGTCCTCCGTCCTCGACTTGCCTCTGTTCTCCAGATCATATCAAAATTGCCAATTGATTAGGCGCTCAGCAGACCCTCTCCGCAAAGTTGCAGACGCAGAAACGGCAGCCGAGAGTCTGCCACACCAACTGCCTGCCAGCCGCCGCAAGTCACCCCTTCAATTTCTTTCTCTACGTGGCGTTTCTCCCAGAATCCAAGTGAATTGCAAGCTGCTGAGCAGTAATAGTGTGGCTTTCAAGAACGATTGGTCAGAGGAGGAATATCCGATATACCCCTGTGGGATCTGATTCGTGCGCTTCCAAGATTCCAGGCTTCGGAACTTTGATGAGACTGTGACGTCGTAGCGGACAGCATTGAGGCGATCACCTCGGTATTACTCCATCCTGACACCTGAGGTCTATCAATCACGTTGGAGCTGTCAACGCCGTAGTATGACAAAGGAGATTATGGTAAGATGGCGTCGACATCTGTTCATTCTGCACCTGGAAGTGTCGAAGGTGCTTGAAGCTTTCCGAATCCCGGAGTCTATTGAAGAACAATTCAGATGAAATATTCATTGGACGCAGGATAGAGACCGAGTGAGGAGGCTGGAGACGTCGCAGAGCCGCCGGAGTCACTTTCAGGACAATGAGACTGTTGACCTCTTCTTGACCCGTCACGTCGGTGCCAGTCTCTCTGAAAAGCGGCTTGTCTCGCCGGCCAACGGCAATTTGAAGTACCTCATCTGCATTCACCGGAGTGCGCGCTCAGTCTCCAACGGGTAAGGTATGACTGATTCAAGCATCTTTACATCTCTGCACAGATCATCATGAGCTGCTCAGCCCTGATATTACATCTCAGTTCAGCCCGTATTCTGACCCAGGCTGTTGAACTGGGTACTCACAAACCGGCGTGAAAGGTACCAATACGTCATCACGAACGCAGATTCACGAAGCCAGGCACGATCAGAGAGAGATTATCACCAACCTGCGGAGGAGGAGATGGAAAGAAGGCTGGACTTTGGTCGGCTCCTGGACTTCTCACGACTTGTTCTTGGCTTGTACATGTGACGAGTGAATTGTGGTCAATGCTTGATCTTTCCCTATAACTGTTGTACTTTCAGGTGACCCCAGCTCCGGAACAAGGCATACGGAAACATACCTAGGTAGGGTTATGATGATGAAGTGTGGGTTAGACAACGAGAGGAGCTGACTCCGAGGGCTTCCAGATGGCATCAGAAGGTTTGATTCGCAGAAGCTACGAGCTGGCGATTGAGGTTCTACCTTAGGTACATACCTGCCCAGGAAGAACGCGGTAGATCCTACACTTCACCCTCAACCTTCCGTCTCCGTCTACTCGTACGGTAAGTTCAGCCTTGTCGATGAGCAGCCATCTACATCCTTCAACACTTCAGCAAGCCACCATTCCAGTATGAAACCCTTTGCCGAATCATCACTCGGGCCACCAGGTGGAAGACATCGCACTGATGCATGGGATATTGGCCCAAGCCCTCCCTGACCCGCTTGTCTTCACGGAGGAGGCGGAAGTTGATCGGCAAAGACTTGAGCTCACGTGGCTCGCAACTTGTCGCCCATCTCGGCCTAGCGTACAACACACAAATTAAAGACGTATCCGTGCGATTCCTTCAGCCTTGACCTCCCTACCAACTACCTCAGGAGTTGAGGTTTTATCCAATATTGATGATGAGGCCTGCTGGTGGCCCTACCCGTATGGAGTTACAACGTGCGAGCTTCGCTGTTGCCAAGGGTATTGACTGTGTGTGGCGGAGTCTTCAGCAACAGATCGTGGTCATTTACTTTTCATTTTTGAGATGTACATATATGAAGAGAGTGCTTCTCTTCTAGATCCTGCACGTACTACTTCCAGCTCTATGCATCCATCATCAGGTTATCCATCCCAGCAGTATGAGACGTTCCCTACTATCTTCTCATATCACAGTGTTTCTCCTTGGAGCCTTCCCTGTCTCCCAAGCCCGTGGCGATGGAGCTAATGTAACTACACCCCTAACATCAGCACCTCAAAGTTACTTCGAAGAACCAAGTTCCTCCAGCATCCTTTATGGCCATATCGGTTTCATGATTTTGAGTTGGATAGTATGCTTCCCAATCTGTATGTACATTGCCCTACCCCATTCCAATTCAACTCAACGGCTGAAGTCTTCAGTTGTGACATTGGCTGTCTCTCGGTCGAATCTTGCCTACCCCGTTCAAATAATGTTCTTGGGACTGCACGCCACTGGAACAGTCTTTGGTCTGGTGTATAATTCGAAAACTCCGGATCTATATCCTGGCAACTCACATCACAAACTTGGTTGGGTGTTGACAGGGATTGCTGTTTCCCAATTCCTTTTGAGAGTGTTGAAGAGTTTGTTGCAGCAGGAGTCTCGGGCCGTCCCCATTGCAAATTACGAACACGAGCCGCTCGTCTCATCGTCAGAACGCCCAAATGGCTCTACACGGCATATCGGCGAGGATCACCACGAGGCTGGAGACTCAACCCACGCGACGTACCTTTCTGAGGAGGGGACCAGCTCTGATGGAACCTATTTTCAACCACTGTACCGTGCTACCCCCTGGTTTCTCCGCCCCAAGCTCGGTGGACGAAACAGCCAGCAGGTCTCCCGGCTGAAAGGCCGGTCCATCGTGACCAGATTGTACCGGACTGGTCCAACCTTGGAGATCATATCCACGATGTTTAGTGTCATACTGATGGTCCTCGCGTCCGTGGCTATTTGTACCGGTGTAGTTACTATGGCTGGAATATTTGTAAGTCTTTCTGGTCGCGTCGTTCTCAAGACATATTGACGGGTGCAGCATGGGAAACACGTCTTCAACGGCCTAGCTCATTTCATCAAGGGTGGAGCTTTCCTGGCTCTCGGTATCCTGACTTTGTGGCGCTGGATGGGCTATCTCTCGGGGTTCGGCTGGGCGTGGAATCTCAAACTCTCCGCGGCTTCTCGACCTCGAGGATTGAGACGATGCGTGACTATGGAATGGGTTGAGAGTTTTTGCATCTTCATTTATGGAATCACGAATGTCTTTCTGGAGCATCTATCTGCTTGGGGCGAGGGTTGGATTGCGCAAGACTTTGAACATGTTGCTATTTCGGTTTTATTCATCGGTGGCGGATTGGTGAATATCAACACCCTCCGATGGCTCTGGGAACCACACTGACTGTCATACAGTGCGGATTCATGGTGGAATACCAGGGAGTTGGAGGATTCTCCAAGAAATCAACAGCAATGCAACAAGCTCCCCTTCCCTTTGCTGAAAAGCAGACCTTGACACCTGGGTACTCGATCAATCCCGTCCCCACTTTGATCATTTGCCTACTCGGTATGATCCTCGGCGGCCACCACCAAGACACCGTCCAGTCCACCATGATGCATAAATGGGTAGCTTTCACGCCGACCTACTTGTCTCCTCGGTACGATGGCTAATCATGATCAGGTCGGAAATCTTCTCATCGGAGCGTCAGCAACAAGAGGTCTCACCTACCTCATACTCTACACAGCACCTCCCACGTCTAGTTCACCTCGTCGGCCTCCCTCCGAGTTTGTCACCTCATTCTGTCTGATGTCAGGAGGCATCATGCTGATGGCTAGTGTAAGTCACCCTGAAGCTCACATAACTCCCACATCTCAGGGGCTGATCCTACCGTCGTAATCTAGAACCGAGACACAGTTACTGCCATGGTTAAGCACGACGTAAACGCGATGCTGACTGCTACTATGGCAATGAGCTTAACAGCCGCATTGATGGCGTGGTGTATGACCTTGGCTGCTGTAGGAGGGTGGGCAGACAAGAGAGAAGCTTTATATGGAAGTAAGATGGAGGATGTGGAGTGAGAGGGAAAGACGAGGGGTTAAATACTTTTGGTGTAATAGTCTGATAGATATCACCTGGAGGGATCGTTGAACGGGTACTATATCCGTGTTAAGAAGATTCCGATGAAGTTTTCAAACCCCCGCAATAGAGATATAGGTATACAGTATACTTGAGGTACGTCAGACTCACAACTCATCCGGTTCGTGGTTCAAGGACTAAGTAGGGCGGCGATTACCTATGCACTCCACTGTATGCAGGTATGCCACATGTGTAGGTATGGAGTATGGATGCTATATCCGGAGGTAGCTGCACAGTGGACTCGGCGCCACGTCACAATCTCTAATAGTACTCCGTCTTACCGTGCTACCTACCAGGAGATCAGGTAAGTAGATCCTTTCCCCTGTGACCTCAACCGATGCACCTTGGTGTTGACACTTCCTGGCATCGCACCGGGAAGGGCCGGACCTTGCATGGAGACTTTCTACTCTCTACTCTCTACTCTCTCATAGTGACAAGTCGCAACCGTTGCAGAAATGGTGGGCGTTGCGGGAAAGTCGAAGGGTTGTAATACCTGCAAAAAGAGGAAGATTCGAGTACGAGTGGCGTCCCCTTCGGAGAAATTGTGATCGAAGGCTGAATCATTTCGACTTACAGTGTGACGAGGAGAAACCAACTTGTGGCCGATGCAAGAAGGGAGGTCGTGTATGCGAAGGATATCGACGTGATCCGCATTTCAAGAATCTGAGTGCCCTAGATCACAGCGCCTTGTTGGCACGGTCCCAGCCTTGGACTTCACTCACAGAACTCGCATCCACGATCTGCAGCCACTCTATCGTCGAGGATAATGATCCTAGCAGCATTGGGGAGAGAAGACAGCCACTGGCCTTGAAGAGCCAACGGCTTCAAGACCTGTTCCTCAATTTCCTCAAGGTCTATTTCCCTGAAGAAAAGGCAGAATGGCTAGACAACAACAACACCACCCCGGCGTCGTGGCTAACTACTTTTGACCCGTTACAACGAAGTGGCACGTCTCTAGATCTCGCATTATCAGCGTTGAGCCTGGTCCGTCTCGGTCGACAATGCGGTAACGAGAGGCTTCAAAGTGAAGGGCTGACGAAATACGGCCGAGCCCTGAAAGATCTCCAAAATATTCTCTCTAGTGGTAATCTAGTGTTACAGGAGCAGACTCTGGCGAGTTGTATGGCTCTATCCCTTTTCGAGGTCAGTTCCCCTTTCATCCAATGGTTACCAAACTTGCTAATCCAAGTAATATAGGTGCTAGAAGTATCGGGAGGGAATTTTTATGGATGGGCAAGCCATGTCGAAGGTATCTCCAAGTTAACTCGGCTTCGAGGTCCAGAGTTGCATATTGCTGAGCCGAGCCATCATCTATTCTTGGGCTTTCGACCTACTGGGGTAAGTTCTGGTTCTGGCTGCTGTCTCATAACCAGCAAAACGGTCGCTTATGCCCAACAGATCATTTACGCATTAGCGCTACGTCAACCGACATACTTAGGCGGGCAAGACTGGCTGTCGATTCCATGGACCACGCGGCCTAAATCGGACTTTCACCACCTCCTCGACATAGTGGCGCAAATTCCGACCCTAATCGACCACACGGAACGTTTCGATCAAGTCTCTCAGGCGGATATATCCCAACTTGACAGAATAGAACTCCTGAACCAAGGGTGTGAACTACACTGCCAGCTCGAGGGTTGGTATCATGGACTCCGAGGAAAGCACTCTAAGCCGTTCTATTGCCAACAGCCTTCTCTCCAGACTTGGTCCAGCCCGGGTTCTGACTCTGGACCTATGTTTTCGACATTTCTCCACTTTCGAACTTTCGAAATCGCTCGAATGCACCTCTTCTACTGGACATCACTCCTCTTACTCTACATCAGCATCCTGAAAATAACCTCGTCCTCCTCCCCAGCTCCAGGTGACCAAGGTTCATCCTCTCCCTCGCTCCACATCCTCCCGACTCTGATAGAAGAAAAGCCCGTCCGGAGACAGGCTCTAGAAACAGCGACCCTGATTGCTCAGTCAATGGAGTATCTCCTCTCGGAAAACATGCATATTCGTGGACGTCTAAATACTTTCTTCCCCCTGCGGACCGCCATGCATGTGTTTTCATGTACAGGGGATCACAAAATGGAAGGGTGGTCTCTGTCAGTGTTTGAGGAGCTTGATCGGCGAGGGTATCCATTCGGAAAGATTCTGAGTAAGTGGGCATGGGATGATATACCGGTGTTTCTGTCCAGCAAGTTCGCTCCGAAATAGCACGATTTACGCATCATTGAGGAAGAGATCGCTATGGGCTTTGGGACATGGTTTTGTCGTGCATGAATTATTCCTTTCGAGCAGGCGGCTTTGTGACTGAATGCTTCGTCGAAGGAAACCATTTAGGTGACAGATACACATCCACATGACGCATCAGTAGGTACATGAACACTGGAAACGGGAGTTGGCTCATGTCATTGGTACCGTCACCCCTGGAAGCGTCAGAGGTTTCGTTATGCTCATCACCTAAAGACACGTTGGTCCAAATTCTATGTCACCATCGGTCTGCAAAAGTTAGCTGTGATCATTTCAGAGGTATATATTGGTCTTACGCTTCAATCGAAAGGGCTGGTTCATCTTGCAAGCTAGACTAACGTCGTGCAACAACCACAACCACAACCACAACCACAACCACAACCACAACCACAACCACAACCACAACCACAACCACAACC